AATTACAAAATGTATAGTAAAATAGAATTTATTGTAATAAAATTAATAGAATTAAAATAAAAAAATAAAAATCAAATTGGAATATATAGTTTTATCTAATGTGAACCCTTTTGATTTTTTTAGATTTAGGCAATAGATTATAAGTAAAATAAAGTGTACAATTTTTGTATTCAATAATTTCTTATATCGCAAATTTTCTTTTTAATGGATTTCCTCCATTTTTAAAAGTTTTACGAAAAAATATTAAAACTTGATTATGATTTTTCTTTTTCACAGCAGAACAAGAAAATGCCTTGAGTTCTACCACTTATATTTATTCAAAAGTTTCCATCCATAATATACTAGTGCATGAATGTAAAAAGTTACCTGACTTGATAAATATAATCCTTGCAAAAATGTTTTTGGATTGTTATGGTTTTCTGGTGATGGTGTAAGAAACAAAGACAACCAATCTAGTGTTTGATGTTTCAACTATTCTGGATCAGTAGTATTATCTTGAATTGCATAATATAGTTGGTAAAATTGATTCTAAAGATTTCGAATTAATTGTGTTCAAGATGCTCTAAAAAGTAATTTTAAATTAAAGAATCTTAAAACCTTTTTCTTATCGTCTCTCATAAGAGATGTATATTCCCAATTATGAGATTCTTTATTTTCCTAAAAATAAAAAGATATTTTTAATTATTGCATTTCTTTTATAATAACTTCTTATATTATACTATTGAATAAATTACGTTCCTTGATTTTGATTAATACCAATTCCCAAAGTCGATCTGTAATTCTTAAAAATACATGTAGTTCATCAAAAACTATATGATTAATAGAAATCATTTTATAGAGAAGCAGATGAATATGACCATTAAAATCCTCATATTTTACTGTAATCTGCTTCATATTTTTTTCAATACACCAATCTTTATTTAAATCACCATATTGATCTTTTGAGCACAAACACCAAGAACAAAAATATCTGGAGGTATGACCATTTAATCTAAGACAAATCACTAGGAACTTTTAATCTGAGCTAAAATATAGCTCAAAATTTCATAAAATTCTAGCTACTTCTAATTTATTTTCCTTTTATGATTGCAATTCGTCAAGAAGAATGCTTAATATAAATTCAAATGTATTATAATTCTCAGTTCCTGGATATAACACCGTAGTATAGTGATAATTTGCTTGATGGTGACATTTCTTATGATTTAATAAATGTTACCAGTGTGTAAAATCTATGTGCATAATATGTACATATGCACATTAATTTTTTGTATGCACATATTACATAATATAAAATATGCACAAATTATTACTAAAAATAGATAAATTATGTATAAAAAAGGTAATTTTACATAAGAAATTGTTATGATTTTCTTATTTTAATTATAATTAATCAACTTGTGCACATAAAATTTAACTTAGATTTTATACACTGAATGTCACTATAATATGTTTTATTTTATGTCACACATTATGACCATCACCAGAAATATGTAAGTGAATGGTAGGATCTAATAATCTCAATAACTTCTTTTTTCAAATGAGAAATAATATAACAGAGGATATCCCTTACACTTCGATAAATACCCATACCCATTATATTAATAGTTTTTTAAATAATTTCTGAATTTGTAAATTCTGATGCATCTGATCCTAAGGTTTCTTTTAATTGATTTTTCCATTCATATCAATTAATGATATTTGATTAATCGACTTATATGATTAGTGATTATAATACGTTCATTAGATACAAAATTTTTACATAGTAGATAAATTTCCATAGCTGCTAATTTCTAATAGAAGTCTTTAGGTATTTGACCTTGATCATTTACTTTTATCACAGAATAAAGTTGATAGGTTCTATTAACTTCATTTTCAGGTCCATAATTTACTTGAAAATTATTTGTTTCATTAACAAAAAATTCGATATTCTTCAGATTGATGATAAAATCCTTTAATATCATTTTTAAAGTTAGATTGGAATTTTGCTGCAATTTTTTTAATGTGTTTTTCAAGTGTTGATGGTATATAATCAACAGCAGGCTTAATTAAATTCCCTCTTTTCCTTGATTCACATGCATTTTATACACTATCTAATTGTAATCCAAATAATAAAGGACCAGAAATTTTAGTTTTAGATCCTGGGTTTAAATGACTAAAAAAACAAATAGTTTAATTAGATAAGATTTATATAACTTAATAAATATAAAGTAATTTAATTTATTTAATAAAATACTTGCTTATATTTGATCATTGCATCAGTTGTAGATTTGGTTGCAAAAAACAATATGTTGAAAGTTCAAGCAATACTTGATTCGAAATTGAGGTATTGTATTAATATAATCAATTTCATAACAAACATTTCATTTTTTAGCAGCCTGATTCCAAATTGTCTCTATAACATAACTATGTAGAATTTTATATGGTCTTTTTTGAAATTATTACTTCTGTTTTTACTTTTTGACTCAGCTCTATTAGGATAAACTCCTTTTATAATAACATAATTAAACTATGTTTAGTAATTTTATTTGTACATTCACGATAAAGAATTTTATTATCAAGTAAATATATGAAATCTTCTTCAATTTGAAGTGTGTTTTCAATATTTTCTTGATCGCTAATATTTTTGCACACTACTAATATGTGATAGGAGCATAGGTAAACTTTGATATCATTGGCTAAAGATTGATTGGTTAGTTAGATTGGTTAAATAATTACACGTGATATTTTTTGTATCATATTTAATTATTGCATATATCACAATGGCAAAAAAAAATTGAAGGTCTGTGTTCTATACAAAATTATAATAAACAAATAGACTGTTTTCATCAATTTACTTCCTTAGCTTATAAAAAAAGCACAAGAAAATGGAATCTTTATACTTTATACATACCTAAAAGCTAGACAACAGATATGTCATATTTATTATATAAATATTGTTGAAGCAAATCATCACTAAAAGTCCAAACTTAATATTCCTATAGAAACAGATAAAACAAATAAAGAAATAATAATATATGATAAGTATAATAATGATTTTATATTATTTTACAATATATTTTAATAGTACTTTTTTTTTTACAGAGCCAACAAAAAATTATACATTTATTGAGCAAATTACAATACTCACGAAAGTTTTATATCAGCATCAGAAAAATTGTAACATAGAACTTGATCCTAATCATTTTCAACAAATAATTGAAAAAGCTGATTCACGCTTACAGTGTTTTTTTAATTAAATTGTAAAGGCATTAGTTCCTGATAATAGATCTATATACAACAAAGGTGAAGTAAACAAATCAGTTGTAGAATTATGCTATATTATGGCTAAAATGCAAAATAAAATTGTTAATGATTTTAAATTAGAAATTGGATTATATTTATCAGCATCAGAAGCATTGCGTACTGCAATTGATACAATGAATAGCATTAGTCTTTCTTTTTATTATGTAATAATTAATAACTATAAACAAAAACTTGTAAATGAATATACTATAAAGATTAGGGAATTTTTCTCTGAACAAGTGAATATATATCAATAATTTTTATATTAAATGTGATTCTTTTGATTTGAAAAAATTATATTTTATTAAATTAAAAAAAAAATAAAGTTATATTATTTTATTGAATTTGCTTGATTATTTTATTAGAATAATTTTTTATATATTTATAATTTGGATGATTATTATGATATACATGAAAAAAAGAAAACCCAATACAGTATTCTTATCTACTGCTAAACATATGGCTACATGCATCTGCAAACAAGTTTTAGCATATACACCAATTCCTATTATTTTTAATAATGTTTCAATACATAATCCAGTAAATATCGATGCAAGCAATATTTATTTTCGATTAATACATCATTATCATAGAATATTTGATATTACTTATACTAATCACAAAAAACAATGGCTTTCTAAACAATCAAATATTAAAAATTTTGATCAAATTGATTTGCTTACAGTACATAACTATAATGATTCAATTGCAGAAAGAAAAGAAGAAAGATCAATGCAAGGAGAAAATTAGTTGGATTTCAAGAGAGAAATTTACATTCTATGAATGATTATATAATAGTATTACAGATGATTTTAAATATTAATAAAGATATTGAATATTTATCTAATAAAGTTACTCTATTAGTAGTTGATTGGCCTGGTCAATTATTTATTCGCAAAGCAATTACCAATTTACATAATCCAAATTCACAATATTCTATACCATTTATTTGTTCCAATTTTGGAACTTTTGCATATTTCTCTAAATAGCAGAAAGTAAGTATTAATCATATATAATAATTTTTTTCAAAAATTGTTTCATTTTGTATTTGAAAAAAAAAAGAAACTAGCAAAGGAATCCAAACATAAAGAATAAATTTGCTGCTTAATCTAGCATATAGTAGATGGTGTAAATTAGAGATCTAATAATATTAAAATTTGAAAATATCTGTAAAGATATTGAATATTGTATGGTTATTGCCTTTTTGGATAATATAATTCTAACAACTTTGGATATCTATGCTGTTCTTTTTCAATCTGGCTCATTTGATGAGTATATAGAAACTATTTTTCAGATTTGAACATTTGCTCTTCAATGAAAAAGACACAATTATAATAAAGCATCATTGGCATTTCTCTCAGATGTTTTTTACTGGCAAAATACAAATCATCCTTTTACAGAAGCTATAAAATTATTTTTAGTAAATTTTAATAATTACTATATTAAAAATATGCATAGCAAAATAAGGACTCATATATTTGCAAATAATAATACAGATAATATTATTAAACAAGCTTACCTAATTAGTATGATCTTGGTTTTGATTTGATTATGTTATCACTAATAATTATTGATAATATTATAATTATAATTGATTAGATGCATAATATAACTGTCAAATTAAAGATATTTTTGAAAAAATCATGAATACCTTTATAAGCCATCGACATTTGATTTGTTGTCAGAAAAAACAGCTCTATTTTTATTAGATTATTTTCATGAGCTCTTTAAAAATTGTAGAAAAAGCAAAATTGAAAAGAAAAAATCAATATAAATTAACTACTTTAGGAGAAATTGTTGACTCAAAATGTTTTCCAGCTGAATATAATACTAGTGTATTCTCATTGCCAAATGCTTGCGATCATTATAAAAAAAAACTTGATGATAGTGAAGTTTTAGTTTGTGAGCATAGATATCATTTTGAATGCTATCAAAAATTAGAGTATAGTTATCATTATTGTGAAGAATATTATAAATGCAGAATATATAATAATGTAAATTCCTTTTTAAAACGATTGGAAAAAGGTCCAAATATACTTACTACTAAAAAAAAGAAGGGAAAATATTGAAGATATATCTAATGAAGATGATAAAAAAGCAGAAAAGATAGAAATAAATAAAGCCAAAAAGTACATGTAGCTTTTATAAATACACTTAACCAAATTAGCACTTGGTAATATATCTAGATTCCAATCAATAAAAACTTGAACAAGTTAGCACTTGGTAATATAATATATCCATTAAATTCCCAATTAATAAATCATTTAACTGTTATTATCATAAAAATATATAAAATATATTTCTTATGTAACTTGCTAGGCATTCAGATCTATTTGGATCCAAAGAATTCATATGAAAAGTTGGCTTCAAAGAGTAAATATACAAAGTTTTGTCACTGGTTATTTTGTAAAAAAAAATTTTATAAAGATCAATCATTTTTTAATTGAACTTTATTATAAAATATATATAAATAATTGTGTAACATATTAAACAAATTTATACTTTACCTATGCTTGTGACTAAGGTTGCTTGTCTAAACTCATTTTGGATTTGGCAAAACGGTAAAACTTTTAGTTTCACTAAATTTTTACTAAATGTTTGATATAGTTTCACCATTTTTATAAGCTTTGATATAGTTTTACCTTTTTTCAAATTTCACAGATTTTTTTAATAAGGTTTTAATATAATTTAACCAAGTTTTACTTTTACCATTTAGACGTCTGTCTAAACTCTTAATTTCATCTAGCAACCTTAATTATATATTATTTAATATGAATAATTTTTATATACTTTGTTGATTCATATATATTTTAATTTTTAAGAGATATTAATTTTAAATATTTAATTATATATATTTTAATGAAATAATATTAAATTTCTGTGTTAAAAATTATAATTCAAAATTGTATATATATATTAATATTAAATATAATTAATTTTCTATTAAATTTAATAAATAGTATTAAATTTTTAATATAACAAATATTTAATTCAGTATACATTTTAATTAAATTTTTGTGTTAAAAATATATATTTTAAAATCATATATACATGTTATAATAAATAATATTAAATATAATTAAATTCTTATATTAAAAATTTATAATTTAAAATAGGAATAATAATCTTATAATCTTATAATTTAAGCAGAAATTTGCAGATTAGCAAATTTATGAAAACTAATAGATTTTTCATATATCTACTTATAAATTAAATTAATTAAAATCTTTTTTTTAAGATTTAATATTTTTTATATTATGTTTAAAATATCAAGAAAAGTAATTTATAACCTAGTTATTTAAGTATATATAAAGTATATAAAAGGAGTTCTATAATAATTTATATAACTATTATTAAAATCTTTTAGAAAAAATTAAAATGATATATCTTAATATAAATTAATTTTGAAAAAAAAAATTTATAATAAAAAATAAATATTATGCTAAAATGATAATTATAAGATTATTGAAGTAATGCAATTTTAGTAATAAATTTTATAAAATTTCATTATAGAAGATCATTATAAAATTATATATATATTGTTATAGAGTTATTTTAACAAAAAAATGTAACAAAGTAAATTATCAACATATTTCACTAAATTGATCTACTAAAAGAATTACATAACTAATATATATAAATACATATATAAAAAATATATATTATAATATAATATTCTATCTTTTTTTTTTACTTTATACTTTTAGAAAAAAGTTTATCAAAAAATTGATAAAATAAACAAAAAAGAAACTCATATTCAACTAGCCACACCTATCTAAAATAAAACCTTAAAATATGTTATTTATTCCAATTTATCTTATAAAAATAAAATACAATCATAAAATACTTATCACATCTGTTGAAGATGCTGTGTAAGGAATTTGTCATTTTCTTTTTTTATAAATTAGATTTATGAACTTTTTAAAATGACTTTAAAGGTAATTAAAAAGGGAAGGGGGATACAGGTATTACTTATGAGAGTATAATACTCTGTATGATAAGAGAGTTACAGATATTATATAATATAATTATATTAGAAATAACTCTCCTTCCCCTCATGTAAGATATTTAATTTTAACCAATCAAAATTAAGCATATATATATCAGGTGACTGGAACTTTTTCATATGAATTCATAACTGATAATGCAAATAAGATATCTATAAAAAACCATTATTAATTTCAAATTACCTTCCCTTTTTTCTGTTATAAATTTTTTTCCAATTCTTTTTTTTAAAATATAATCTGACATGACTGATTCAGATGAAAATATGAGAAATCTTGAATTCTTTATAGGATTTATAGTATTAATATTAGCCTCAATAATGTATGCAACAGGTTTAAATCTGTTAAAAGTGAAACTGTCAAGTAAATTGTCTTAATACTTTTATAGAATAATGAAACATTTTTAAGGGATACTTAGACAAAAAATAAATTATTTATGCATTATCTATTATATCAAAGCTTTGTATCTTAGAATCTTTATAAAATCTTTTTATGAAAACTAAAATTAAAAGAGCTATTTAATGTGAAACTACTATAAAAATTTATAATGTTATTAAATAAAATCAAAAAATAGCTTTAAAAGCTATTATTTTTTTATAATATCAACTTTTATTGCTTTTAAAGTTATCCAGTCACAATGGATTTTTATCTTTAGTATAAATTAGATTCAAATCACTATTTTTAAGCATGTTATCAGCATTTAAAACCCCAATTTTTGATTTTCACATTCATTTCACATATCAGTTCAAGATGAAAAATTATCTTTCAACTCTAAAATTTATTAAAAACTTTTGCTATAAAGAACCAAATTCTACTTATCAACACTTCTGTAATACTTTCACATATAGACAAATGGTTCTGGCTAAAAATCCTATTTATAATTGTAAAACTTTATTTTATAATAAGTGAAAAAATACAAAAAAAGCAAAAATATTAAAGAAATAATTAAAGATTTTTTCAGTACACCAATTTTTATATAAGGATTTCTTATTTTATATACAAGAGATTCAGTACAAACAATTGATAACTCATATGTGTATATAATGGATACAATAAATATAACAGTTGAATTACTAACTTAACAATTAGAAAAATTACCTTGTGCAAATGCCTTTTTTCAGAAAAGAATTTTTGATCAAATAAAAAAAGCTGAAAAAAATTAGTAGAATTTACCTTTTTTATAGTATCACTAATAATTTTCAATTTTGTAGAGATTTTTATAGGCATATTAAAAGTTTCAAACATAATCTTAAAGAAAAAAAATAGTGTAAAAAAGCTTAAATGAAATGTAGACTATCAGTAAAAATCTAGATTAAAAAAGCAAAATACCTAAAAAAAGAGAATGAAGTAGTTACATATGATCATGCTAGCTATACATGAAGTTGATATGTTTCGACTTTGGAGGTCAAAGTCGAAATGAAAGTCAAAATGGTCGAAATTATATCATATCACATGATTTTTTATATATAGAAAAAACAATAAAAAACAAAATATGTACGATCTCAGTCAATATCACTCCGATTTATATGAAACAACTAACCATTCGATTCACCGCAACTAGATGAATCCAATGAGCTAACATTCATTGATTTTGGATCAGCCCATCTCGAGATATTCGCGATCATATTTCGAAATCTGGACTTCTTTATTTAAAGTAGAATTTATTGATTCATAATTTCAGCTGATAATACAATAGCGATTATCTCGTGATTGGATGATCCAAAATCAATGAACATTAGCTCATTAGATCCGTCATATCGCAAGGAATTGAATGGTTTTTTTTTGTGTTTTAACGATGCAGTACTGCCATAAGTTTATTAACGTTTTTTATAGTATACTAAAATAAAAAAATTACAAAGTAGAAAAAAACAACTAAACTATGACTATCTCCCGTAATCTTATTGCTAATAAAAGCTCAAACTCGTTTAGATCAACTGATCACCAGAATTCCCCTCCGACTCAACCAAGAAATCCATATTAAATGACTGAGCTGTCAACAAGAAATTCAAATGAGGTTGTCAATACAGCAACATAATTTCTAAATACCCTTCGATCTCAACTTCTAAAAAAATATTTCAAAAACTAACAACCCTCCTAAGAAGGGAAATAGGTACAAATAGAAATTATTAAAAAAGACAAATACAACTCTATAAA